CATAGTATGTTTCAGGCTTCACATGGGACAAAACAATCTACACTTGATGGACAGTTTTACCCATTAATAAATTAATGGTCCCAATGCTGCCTACACCAATGGTTCAAGAAAATTTTGTTAGGGTGGTGGCCTATAGATTAATAAAAATAAAAAAGCCTTGAGATTAAGCCTAATAATAATAATAATAATAATAATAATAATAATAATAATTTATTTATACCCCGCCGCTCTTGCTGGGTTTAAAAGTATTAAAAGCTTCCCTAAACAGGGCTGCCTTCAGATGTCTTCTAAAAGTTAGATAGCTGTTTATTTCATTGACATCTGAGGGGAGTGTGTTCCACAGGACGGGCACCACTACCGAGAAGGCCCTCTGCCTGGTTCCCTGTAACTTCGTTTCTCACAGTGAAGGAACCACCAGAAGGCCTTTGGCACTGGACCTCAGTGTCCGGGCAGAATGATGGGGGTGGAGGCACTCCTTCAGGTATACTGGGCCGATATTGCCATTACCACTGAAAAGGCTTTATGTGGTATAGACTTTAGATCTTTTGGGGAAATGTCTAGAATCTGAAGTATTGGGGTTTGAGGAATAGTCATAATGTTACTTTTTGAAAAGTTGTTGCTTTCGTAGAGGCATTTTGAGATAACAACCATGAAATGTTTACCGAATGCAACATTTATTTGAGACTGTACTGACAACCTTTTGTGACTTGACTGGAGTTAAGTGCTAGTACAAAAGAACTATAAGTTAGAATCCATCATTTTCTCATTGAATTAGCGGGGGTGGGGGGGACCCACTTATCCCAAAAGAACTTATCCATTGACATTCCTAACTCCACTTATTTCATTACACTTTATTTCATTTATGAATCTTCTTCTGTGAAACATCTTGAAGTGATTAACAACAAAAACAGAAATACAATACAGATAAGACTATCTACTAAAAGGGCTAGCTGAAAAAAATATATCTTCCGAAGGTTCTGAAATGATAATGGAAACGGTGCTTATATAATACATAATAGTAGGCAGTTCCAGGGGGTATGTGCCTTCACACTAAAGACTTGATTCCTACATCATATGGAATTGACCTCTTCATGAGATTGCATCTACAGGAGATCATCTTCTGAAGAGCTCAATGATTGGTTGGCTATACAATGTGTAAGATTAGGGGCCAGCTAAGAGAAACCGGGTGGAGGGGCACATTAGACCCCCAGTTCCTGCAGTAGATGTATAAAATTATTTTCTTGGGTGGCTGAACTTTACAAAACACAAGAAATCTATACCCACCTCAGTTCAGGAATGTTCTGGACTTCTATGCATGGCCTATGCATATGATATAAATTTGTTCACATATGCTACAGATAGCATACCAATATATAACCAGTGAAGTACTTTCCCTGTTCAAAGTGAAGTATTAATCACCTTATCTGGTTTTTGTGATGTGAAACTTGTGACTATCTTGCCAAAATAACTGAGCAAATGTATCATTTGAAGCTTTTCTATAAACTAATTTGTTCCATACTATTAATTGGAATAGAAAGGAATGTCATGTGCAGAAAAACAGATTGTGATTAATGTGATTGCTTATGCTTCATTTTCAAATGCTAGTTTGAGTGGCAGGTTTTACTCTTCTCATTCTGCAAGCAACGCAAACATAGGTTTCAGAAAACTGGTTCAAGAGAGGGTAAAAAATTAATATTATCCTTGACTGGATTTTAGTGTGTCAAAACTTTGTTATGCATATGATTTATAGTAAGTGGATTTACACAGAACGCAAAAGGGGGGGGGAGATGTTGCCTATCTACTACTTTCATATTAATAAGTTTCTAGTAAGATCTTTGAGAAGAACAATGTGACATTTTCATTCAGAAATCTGAATAAATCCTTTGTTATTTCCTATGTAGCCATTTTCCAGTGCCATAAATGGATATTTTTCAAGGTAGTTTTATATGTTTCAATATGTGGCTTGCATAATCCTCTGAAAAGGGTTCTGTTTGAGCATATGTCTTAAGGACAGCATGAATGTGAAGTTTTGGATATCATCTCCCAGAAATACCATATCATTATACGATATAATTAATCATTTCTCAGCCCACAACATGGCGCCTTCAGATGTTGTTGGACTACAACTCCCATCAGCCCCAACAAAGATGGCTAATGGGCAGGGAAAATAGGAATTATGGCACAACAACATCTGGAGCATACAGTGGTACCTTGGGTTACATACGCTTCAGGTTACAGACTCTTCAGGTTACAGACTGCGCTAACCCAGAAATATGACCTCTGGTTAAGAACTTTGCTTCAGGATGAGAACAGAAATTGTTCAGCAGCGGCACAGCAGCAGTGGGAGGCCCCATTAGCTAAAGTAGTGCTTCAGGTTAAGAACAGTTTCAGGTTAAGAACAGACCTCAAGAACGAATTAAGTTCTTAACCCAAGGTACCTCTGTACTATGTTGGCTACCCGTGACCTAAGGGGAATTTATTTATTTGTTTTCATTATTTTAAAAGCTTATATCCTCTCAAGGAGGCCAGCAAGTCATAGTATCAAAACAATACTTCCATTGTGAACTCCCCTGAGATCTTTTGATATATAAATCAAATAAATAAATGAAAATTAGAAAAAAAAAATCCCACTCTAAACCTAGTAATAAAACTCGCAAATACTAAACAACAACAACAAGGACCCAAAATAATCATTCTAAGGTCTTTTTGAGAATTGGCACATACAGTACATTAATTCTCTAAGTTTGCTCAGAAACTTGTATGCAAAACAGAATATATTAGAACTTGTCTGGATAACTGCTTTGAAAAACATTTTTAAAAATATGTATGTAGGTAGGGTGAGTGGTGGCAAATTAAGCTAGTTGTTCTTCTGATTGTTCATTTTTCTTTAATCTGTTGAAGGGACCTTTTTAAAAGAAGCATTCCGGATTCTTTACAATACAAAAGTATTAATAAATATGCAGCATATAAAAATAAAAGAATACTAACTTGCAATAATTTCCCAGAGGCATATTCAGGAATCCGTGCAAACATTTAATGAATGTAATAAAGATTTAGCATCCTTCTGCATACTTCAGCATCTTTAAAGCTACATAAAGCCAATACTAATCCAATCTACTTCATCATCTCCATCCTAGAAATGTGATACTCCCTGAGTCAAAGTCTTGAAATAGTAATTTGTCCTGCAACAGCCGAAGTATGAAATAAGAAATCCTGAACAAGTTAGACCACAGAACCATTTGGCTTTTAGAGCTGCATGCATAGTCACAGGCATATTTGCATATAATCTTTTTCACATTCATCAGCTAATTACTGAATTTGTGCACTGACATACAGATAATCTAATGAAAGTTCCAATTCACACAGATCCAGCCCAGCCTGGCTCAATGTCTCACTGTCAATCTCTGGAGCTCCCTGGCTCTGTGGGTGCTCCTGGCTTGCTCTTACCTGCCCTCTCTGAGCATGTGAGCAGGGACAAGAATTTGGGCACAGAGGGCAAATCAATTGGGCAATGGTGAGGAATGAGGAAAAGGCAGAACAAGTCACTATGTGGGTCAGGGGCGCGTCCCTCTGAAGGTGTCTTGCCCAGCTCCCCCCACCCCATGAAACCACCACTAAATGATGGTATTGCATGCTCAGGAACAGATGACTCCTCACACTCTTGCAACTCAGTTGTAAGAAGGCCATTTTAACAGTGTGAAAACACAGGATAATCCGTGCCTCCAGTGAGCAATTCTGTTGCTGTATAATTTTGCTAAATAGGATAAAGCATTTAATTTTTAAAGAAAATTCAGTGTCAGTAACTGCAGCTTCTAATAAAATTGTTATTAGCTATAGCTTTACTGCAACAAAGGCTGGGATATGCAGCTAAATCCCAGTTCAGTGTAATACAGATTAATGGGTTAGATTTGAGGATGACATTTTACAAAGCAAAGAAATCAAGGCACAATTATAGTTCATCAAATAGTCTTCTATGCTCTTCAATGAAGGCCTAATCCTATGGGCATTTGTGTGTGTGTAAAAACAGTTGCTCCAAGTAGATATTTTGTAATTTAAATAGTCATGAAGGTTATTTCAATAAGGTTGACAAGCCACTGATTAGTAATATTAGACACATAACTGTAGGTTGTTTTTTTAAAGTAGTATCATATTTCACTATTAATCATAGTCCATAGCATTTGTCATTTTAAACTCATTCACAATAGTGCAGACAGAAATGCCAAATAATAACATTTTTTATCACGCATATTTAATGTATGGCATTTCAGTAATGTCAAGAAATGGCAGTTTATAGTTTCCTGCATTTTGTGGAAACACTAGCGGTAATTGATAATACTTTGAGCAACGGGCAAAAGTATAATTCAGGACTCAGCTACATTAGTAAAGAAACAATTTGAATGCACTATAAACATGCAACTCCAGATGGCACCAGAGAGCAGGAAAAATTTACACACATTTTCCCATAGTTGTTTTTTTAAAAAAATTTGTTATTACGATCTAATTTCTGACTTATTTATAGCCGGGTCCCATGTGTAGATCCACCCTTAGTTTATCAGGTGAAAAATGTCACTGTAACTGTCTAGTAAGTTGGTAGGTATTGGTTCTAAACATAAAGTAAATGTTAAATAATGTTACAATGATACCAACTGGTAAAATATTATAATAATAATTTAAGTGTGCAAAGTACAGCAACCATGCTAATTAGCCATTCTTCCTACTTTGAATGGTCTTCTAGAATTGTGTTATGGGTCATAGAATCATAGAATTGTAGAGGGTTTTTTTAAAGAAAAGCCCCAAAGTTGTTGAAAAGTTGGGGGGGAAATGAAATGATTTTCCCGTTATTTTGCCAACAATCTAGGACAAACTGCTGCTTTTCAGAAATCCCCCCTGGATGTCTCTTCTTCCATTGAAAAACTGGTAATGTCCAAGAAAACCCGGATGTATAGCAACCCTACCCTGAGGATCATCTAGTCCAACCCCTCAATGCAAGAATATGCAACTGCCCATACAGGGATTGAACCTGCAACCTTGGCATTATCAGCACCATGCTCTAACCAACTGAACTATCAATCTTATCTCACTGGACCAGATCCTTGCCAATATTAAATAATGTCCTGGGTAACAGCAGGATATTCCATTCCAGGTTGTATGATGAAATGGAATGACAGGGCAGTTTGGGATCAAGAATTTGGAAGTTGTTTGGATAAGATGGCATCTGCAGCTTTTTCTTTACTGTATTAGTGTGCTTTCAAATTCATTTGCTTGGCTTCTTGAGAAACACATTCCTTAATTCTAGATATAATTCCAGACACCTGTCTGTATTCTTTCATCAGCTGATAAACTGCTAAGGCAAGGAAGTAATCTATAATATATTAGGTACTATCACATAAGGCTCCATACAGCTTAGGGCCAGGTTACTTGAGAGACTGCCTTATCGCTTATATATCCATTAGGGAACTGTGATCCACAGGAGAGCTTTTCACACAAGTTCCAAAGATTGCGCCACAGTAGCTTGCAGAAGAGCTTTTAGTGTGGTCAACATTTGCTCCATCAATAGATATAGAAAAAGCTTCTAGCTGCTATAATTTTCCTTTTTAAGTAGTAGTTTAAAGTTTGCAGTCCTAAAGAGGCCTGGAAATGCCCTCTTTTCAGCCCACATGGTTATGACATCATGCTTTTCCTTCCCCAGCTACTACTGACATGGGCTGCATCTTTTTCATTTTATACAATCCCATTTCTAGAGCCCCTGGAAGTACCAGGAGGGTGGGCGTCGAATGGTGGCAGGGAACAATATCCAAGAACTACTAGATATGACAAAAGGAGATAACATGGTATCACCTGCCTGATGATACCTCTCCACAGTTTTTAAACAGATCAATTGCTCTGTTCCAAGTTCCCATCTTCTTTGTTCCCAAACCCAGAGGGTCCACCCCATGCATCCCGCACATTGACCGAGACATCAGAGTACATACCTTCAGTGGCGTTTCAGCTGCAGTGCTCCTTGCAACACACATGTTTTTGTAGCATGGGTGACCCATATAGAAAGTCTGTCTATTCCTATCAGTTGATGGTGACTTCAAGCCTGCTGGGATCTGCTACAGGGCTTAAAGTAAGCAATGATTAGCTAAGCCAATGGCCTTCCAGTACAAATCCTGCTCTACATTTACTGTGCAAACTATAATGATGATCATTTTGCTAGCATAATAAAAGTGAGCATGCTTAGCTGGAATACTGTGTATTGTATTGTGTATTGTGTTGGGAAGACAAATATTATCCACGAGGCTTGAAGGTGCATGGATACAAAAAAGGAACCTTTAGTTTTTGTGAGAGTGAAGACAATAGTGGAAAATGGCAATAGATCCCATTCTGTTACAGAGCATAATGATTTGCCAGGTTCCTGAAGTCTGCCCTTGTCACCAATGGAACGAAAAAAGCTGAACCTGTTGAAAGGAATAATTCTCACACCATCTCTGGAACATCTGAGCTGTGTGGGATAAAAAGATGAGAAGGGATGACTGCCTGCTAACCTGAGCAATCTTCTGTTGCCTATGAAAACTGTTGCCAGCACAAACACGAACAAAGCATTTTGGCTGGCAACGCACATGGAGACTGATTTTATTTTTCTGCCAGATGCCAGTGACTGAGACAGTGTGAACGATGCTTTGATTTCCACAATGAATAGTAGGGTATATTTGGGCTTGGCAAGTACAAATCTGAGGGAAATCTGCCCAAAAGAGAAAGCACTTGCACTTGGAACCATGAATTTTGTAAAAGAAAACATAAAAGAAAGAGGGAAAAAATAAGGTGACAGTCATGTGAAGATTGCAGACAGTTGTTGCTTATTTTTGCCCAACCCTTTATACTAAAAAGCACTGCAAATGCATGGTATATTTTACATAGGACAAGCCTAAATTCTTTCAACAGGATGGCGCTGAAAATGCCCATAGGGTAGTATGTAAGACTTGAAGGGAAAAGATATCCACCTCTCCACCTGCTGTATGCCCTCTGGAGACATACCCCAACGAGCAACAGAGAAGGTAGGCTCAATTCTGAAAGAATGAGTCCCTAACCCAGCTAAAACCCTCCAGTTCACCACCTCAAATTGATACTTAGTCAGCGGTGACCCACTTGCATGAAAAATTCTCCCGGCCAGAACCCCTAAGTGCCACATGGGCTCTTAATGCAGGAACTGGGCATATTTCAGAAGAAACCCTTCACCTAACCATTTTTCCTTTCCAGCATAAGCCGCTGTCTTTGAAGATTGAGGATGGAGTGGGCCAGGGGGAGTCTGGAGCTGAGGAGGTTTTTAAACTTTGGAGAGACCTTGAAATATGCTTTTTAATATTTTTTGGACTACATTGATGACTGTGGGGAGTGGGACTGTGGGGAATGGGCTGGTTTGATGAAGGGAGACGGAGATAATTTTGGGTTGGAATCCCCCAGAGCCCTACTCCTCAATGAGAGAGGAAAGAAATTAAGAAAGAGACCAACAAAAAACAAGGAAAAGTGCAAGTATAAACAAGAAGAAGAAGATCTGCAGAAGGGACATGGAAGAGACTTAAGGGCCTCGGACATAAGATCACCAGGTTGATGGACTAGATGGAATGGACAGTAAGGACTGACACGACCCGAGACCAGGAAGAAGAGACGTTGGATGAAGATTGGAAGAAAATTTATAAAGAAAAAATTTTTTTCTAGGGAATTAGCCTAAAATTAATGAATATTAGGGAAAATGTTGGAATGAAACTATATGACTCTAGTAGAAATGATATTAGGAGTTATGTATAATCGAGTTTTAAGCTTTAAGCTTTAAAGTATTTTTTGGTAAGATAAGGTTAAATAAATTAAGGTAATTTGAATAACAGAATATGGGGAAAAGATGGAAAGGATTTGTTGAGTTAATTAATAGGTTAAATTGTTAAGATAAATTATTTAATAAAAATTGAGAAAGATGGAAAGAATTTGCTGAAATAACTAATTAAACTAGAATACAAAAAGGGAGGTGTGAGGAGGTCAATGAAACAAGCAAATGGAAGTTAAAGATATGTAATATGGGATTTGTGTCTTTTTTCTCTCTTTTTTATCTTTTTGCTGTATTGTTGCATTGCTTTTTATGTTTTGCTTTTTTAAAATTCTTTTTTATGTATTGTAGTGTTGTTTTTAATTTTTTCCTTTCTTTTCTGTAACTTTGAAATTATTAATAAATATTATTTTTTTAAAAAACAACCATTTTTCCTTTCCTTCTCTGATCTGTATTGGACCAACAAAATAGTAATAACCACCCTTCTTCCACAAAAGAAAGGTCCTCCTTCCTCCACCATCTTCAAGCAGAAGTGGCTTTTTAACCCACTTCCACTTCTTCCACAAATGTGCTCTTGCCTGGACCGCTTTGGCTGTAGGATGGTAGGAGGAATATTTTGCTCAGAGACCTCTCAAACCTGGAACTAGCTCTTGCCATTAAATGGCCTGACTCTGTACATCTTCATATTATACAATATGCTTTTAATTTGGTTATTTTAACATGCATTATCTGTTGCTGAAGTCTAAGTATTTAAGGAATACTGAAATGAGCAGCTATTTAGTAACAGTAATAATAATAATAATAATAATAATAATAATAATAATAATAATATTCCTTATGATTTTGGCAGTATATATATTGTGTTATAATTTCACTAATTTAAATAGTAATGATGAAATCATGTTTCATTAGCTTGAGGTTTTACCTCCCTCTACTGGTTAATATCAGCAGGTCTAGACAGTGTTAGGTAAAATAAACAGATGGCATATGCATAAAAAGGAGATATCTAGGTTTGCAGTTACTTTTAGACAATCTCTGCTCTCTCTCTCTCTCTCTGTCTCTCTCACACACACACACGGATGAGATGGAAGGAGGAACCTCTTAAGCTATTCAGAAAGTGTCCCTTAACATTCACAATTGGTCCATAGGATACATTGTGAAAGAAAAGAGAAAAAGTATACATTTGCAAGTACATGGCATGAGTGTGTGCTGCTGAATTGTACCACCAGGCACTGCCAGCTACCAAAATATTCAATACTCAGAACTGTGCGTTTAGATGCTTTTAAAACTACATAAATAAAACCATCTCGTTCCTGATCTTACATTGATTTTAGTTCAAAGAAAGGTGTAAAGGGATAAAAATCACTTCATATTGACCAGTCACCTTGCCAAGCTTGTATTTACACCCACAACAGCTACACATTCTTCAAGCTGAAATTACCATACAATTATCATCTGTCCTGAGGCCAATCACAATTGCCTCAAGGCTTAAGTATGTTGCACATTTTGTCTAGCAGCTGAACTGATCTTCATGCAGGCTTTCAAAATTGCACAGTTCTCACTGCGACAGCAGATAACCTAGCACAGATATTTGTATGCAGGCAAGGCTGTGCAGATCAGCTCACGTTCTTTACAAGTGCTTTAAATTGGCACTAATCTACGGTAAAAGCCTAATGCATATAAGCCAAGGTCTCGCTGTTATGCTTAAGAAAATACAGTTGTACCTCTTTTTAGCAATATTTCTCCCCATATAGAGTAAATATTGTTGGCTAAAAGCATACTCTGGATATTTAGCTTGAAAGTACAATTTCTCATGTTTTAGCTGGAGGTGATTACATTTCAAGTGAGTGAAAATTTCTTAACTGGAGCCCTACAAACAGGAATTGGAAAGACAGAATGTGAAATAATTTGGCAACTGTCGCTTTCTCTTATTTACAGGTATATATATCAGACACTGGGTAGTAATTAGCCTTAGATTAAAATCCTAGGCATGTCTACTCAGAAGTAAGGCCTTTGGCTTACTCCCAAGTAACTGGGTATTATATTATAGCCTTAGTTTACTTTTAAAACATGTTGCTTGGGGGACATATATTTGGTTCAAAATTTTGTTGGCTTTTTAACATCCTTGCTGCCTCATAATTGTCATATACTTAATTCTTCACTGATGAGAAAACCCACCTGCTTGCTTTTGATGGCAATTAAAAAAATTGGAACGATTGGAGGGGAAAACCATTTTAAGAAGGCACTGATGATCGGAAGTCACGTCA